CCACCTACAAACACCCTACTGACAACCTACCAACACCCTACTGACAACCTACCAACACCCTACTAACCACCTACCAACACCTTACTGGCCACCTACAAACACCTTACTGACAACCTACCAACACCTTACTGGCCACCTACAAACACCCTACTGACAACCTACCAACACCCTACTGACAACCTACCAACACCCTACTGACAACCTACCAACATCTTACTGGCCACCTACCAACACCTTACTGGCCACCTACAAACACCCTACTGACAATCTACCAGACACCCTACTGACAATCTACATACCAACACCCTACTGACAACCTACCAACACCCTACTGACAACCTTGTACCAATAACCTACAGACAACCTATTAACAGCCTACCAACACCCTACTGACAACTTACAACCTACAACATTCAACTACCAACAACTGACAAACACACAACTGACAACCTGCCAACACCATACAAACCAACTACTAATATCAACCTAGCGACAAATGACCAACACCCTACAAGCAACCTACCCCTACTCTGAGCTTGACGCCAATTTTGGGTTCACATTCTTTACACAATAACTTACTATAATGCTAGAGACAACGACCGCAACTTGTAATATTTTTGCAGAACTTTAGACATGCAACACATCTGATACATTGAGGAATTCAAAATCTGTTCTAACCTTGAGAGATGCATTAACATCATTTAAATCCTGTTGTAAATTTAGAATATCTTGTGTCTTTTCTTCAAGGTCTTTGATTTGATGGGACAAAAGAGACACCTCTGATTCTTTTCTCATGGGCATTTCATTATCAAAGGAGATTAGTGAGCCTTGATCTTCATTCCATATCTTCGTAGTGCTGTGCGGCTGTGGAGGTATATCCATCGCTTCTGCTTGCACTTCTGATGCTTTTGATGGCTACAAATTTAAATTACACAATTCCTTACATTTTAGTTCCAAAAATTACTTTGACTGAAATATCATTGGCATTTAAGCCAATATTTGGATTTTAGCATTTACTACCACTAGTCTAGAGTACATATTATACCATATACAGTATCCATGAAAAACTTTGAACTTTGCACAAATCAATAAGTTCAGTAGACCGTGACCTACAAAATAATTGTACTAATTTGTGGAATTTTGCTAGTTATTTTTTTCAAGGATATATTGTACGCACTCTACCAGAATCCCTTTGCAAACTTTCCTTTGTCTGTCATTTTGAGGACTTTAATGAGATGTTAATTGAATACAACTGCTCGGTTTAAGGGGGTAGGGCCATATGACCTCTTAATATAGGAAGTCTCCATTTACATACAACAATGTTTATTGTTTATTAAAGGTTTTCACAACCGCCATGTTGGATGAATAAGATTCATAAATGAGCCTCTTAAATTATATCATCCAACCTTGCCGCAGTGTCTTTTTTTATCATAATTATTATTCTCTTGGGAATGATTGGAAACTAGCAATAGATGTATTCTGACAGCTTTAGATTTGCAATGTTATATACAGTAGTGAAATGTGTTAATAATATATTATTTTGTTAGTGACTTACAGCAATAACACCTTCATCTGGATTATGGTCAGTATCAAAATGAGATTCCAGCTCAGCAGATGTATTAAAGGTCTTACTGCACATGGGACAAACAAAACCCTAACAAGAATAAATAAACAGAATGATAATCATTATGGGTTAGAAGTTAATTGTGAAGTTAATGAATGAATGAATGAATTAAGAAAAATAAAACTGAATATTGGCTTTGCTGGTACAGTAGACCTCCTCGGCTCTGACGTAATGTTTTCCCATTGCAGACCACGTGTCATTCCCTAGAGTATAATTTCTTTGTTTAAGGTTTGCACTTGGTTGCACATGGGAAGGCACATGAATATGGATACAATTTCAAACAAAGAATAATATTCTGAAGAGAATGACACGTGGTCTGAAATGGAACAACATTACTCGAGCGCTCCAGAGCCGAGGAGGTCTGTTGGTTGGGCACACTTATAAAAAACATTACTCAACATTACTTAACTGTACTTATATAAAACATAATACCATTTCTTGAGGCACTGCAAGATGGGAAATGGGAGCCCTGCACTAACACCTAATGATTGGCTGATCATGCATCATACTATACCTTGGTTTCAGGTGATTCTTCTGTTGGACCTCCACCTTCACTGTGAGCCATAACAAAGTGAATCTGAAGAGCATCAGGAGACTCAAATGCCACCATACACAATGGACAAATGAATCCCTATCAATAACAAAACAACATTTTCAGACAATTACAGTCCCAATCCTATCGATTATGACCTTAAGATTCATGACTGGAGGGTTGGTGCTATCCAAATGCTGGCGAGAAAGGCAGCTCTCTATGAAGTGTGCTTGTGTCAACCATCAGCATCACCATGCTCGCTCCTGTCATGAATTGTAAGGTCTCTAATATTATGCAAAACCAACCCAAGAATCTTAAATAGATATCCTATATGTAGTCTATTCATATGCATAACAGTTCAAACCTCTCTTAACTAATGAAGCAATTATATTACATATTTTATGCATAATTTGGTTTGGCAACCAATGCAGTGTTCCATTATGCTGCAAATAATCCCTGTCAAACTTAACGTGTTTGTCATACTAAATTAAAACTAATAAATCAGTAAGTTATGTATGTCCAGCAAAAGAGTAGAGCGGTGTGTAAAAAGGGCCTATCTGAAGACAACTGAAATATATGAATCAACTAGAACAACTCCACTTAGATGACTTTCTCAAACTATAAAATCAACAAAAATGAAGTTGTCATTCAATCTTCGAATAGAATCTTGAAATAATATCATATTTTTGGGAGGATGACAAAAAAGCTTAATGATTATTCATTTCAATTGAGCGTTTCTTCATGCTTGACTGAATAAACATTAAAAGTATTAGAGCTTATGACAAAAATACAATTTATTTTAACACCCACAAATTAGTAATTAAACACGAGCAATTCTGAAATACCAGGGTTAAAGAATATAATCTTTTGATCTATAATAATATTTTTTCACTATTAAAGTGCTTCATATTAATATATGAAGTCTCAATTAAAGAATTAAGCTTACTTTAAAAAGTTATACAAATAAAGAAAAAAAGTAAGAAAAAAATGAATGAATAAACTAACCGATGCTTCATCGGGCATCGAATGAGACGACTGCAAAAGTAATTAGTCAAAAGATTTAGAAAAAGATGCATAAATAAATCAACACGATATGCAACGATAAAAAGCAACATTTTCCAACTTACCTCCTCAGGTTTTGCAGCCCCTGCCTCTTTCTTGAACAAACGTTTGAACATCTTGATACCAAATGCAGCTAAATTTAAGCTTTGAAGTTCAATAAACAACTATAAAGCTTGTTTTTTTGTTGCATAACGGTCCTGACTAACACGCTGAACGACTCATACTATAACTCAAATTTGGTACCAACAAAGATGGCGCCCAATCGACTTGTTCATACGTAATTGAGTGGTGGGTAACCTGTGGTAAGGTATGGACGAAAGGGGCTGTAAAGCTAGATATCATTTTCACTTTTTTTAGATTTTTTACTCCTTTTTCAGTTTTTTCAGAGTTAATAGAGATCGTCATACGATGCAGTATTTTAAGCTAATTGGCACCATGAGGAAGTTTGATACAAATTTGCAAACTTCTATTCCAGGAATTTCAAAGTATTTCCAGGGCCTTGATGCTTAGAGAAAATAGCTGATGCCGATAGAAAGTTCATCCTAGATAAGTTTAAAGATTTCAAAGAGGAGCTCACTAAACTTTTTAAGAACATAAATAAAGATATTACTGATGCTTTTAAGCACATGAAACAACTAAATGTTTCGACTGGAGAGCTAACAGAAAAATCTACTCGGCTAGCAATCGCTCTCGCATCAAACACAAATCCTCTCAAGCTCCTTTTCGATGGCCCTAAAATTGAAACCATCCATCATCTAACTGCAGAAGTTACTAGCATCAATGCGACAACTCAAAAACCGGGAAAGGAACTGGTTTCAACTTTAACTGAGCTAAAAAATGATACATGGACTGTGGCCAATGCATTTCTTGGAAGTAAGAGAAAAATTAGCCACACTATTGAAACGGTGATTAACAGTATGAAAAATGGACAGTTAGTGGATGATGTTGACGATGCTGCTGGCCAGCTTATAAAAGAGTATGATTCTTTCCAACCGAACAGAGAACTCTCAAGAAACACTTTGGCGAAAAACGATGCTCTTTGGTCAGCGTTCAAAAATGTCGTATGTGATGTCTTTGATTCTGCCGGGATTTCTGGTTCATTACACAAACATGATATCGATCTTTYGTGTGGGAGACTAGAAGCGCGCTTATCCCAATTTTTCATTCTGCGAGTGGAAATGTTTGACTTCCAGTTTCAATTGATAGACGCTGTTGCTGCTGTGGCTCGTGGAAATATGGCAAAAAGACTTTCTAAGAGCTTCAGCCAAGGGACTGATATTGTCAGTGCCAAGCAACTGATGGTTGGGTTTTTTATGATGCAAAGCAAATTCCAAAGAACGGTATCCCTGTACTGCGACTTCTTGGAATATAGACGATATGGAGAACAAACTGTTGGCGCATGCTCCCAAAGGAATCATGGTCTCTTCGAGACCAAATATCTTGATGCCTTGATCAATTATAAAGACAAGACAGCCATCATACAAATGGAGAGAGAAGTCTATACATCCCCCGGCACTGACACGTGCTCAATTTCCAGGAACCACTGGCTTTATTGACATGCCAGCCTTGTCCAAAGGAGCAACAATATCGTTTAGGCTACCATCACAAACTAAATGGCTTTTAGAAAACCGTTGGTTTTTGGAGGGAGAAAAGGCTATTCCTTTTGTAGAAAACTTTGAAATATTCCTACCTTTAAAATATTACAAAACAGGAGCACAAAGAGAGTTTACTACCACTGTAGTCAGAATTGCCTCCATTGCAAGTAGTCTACTGTCTCCACAAGCAGAGGTGGCGTACATCCTTCCACAAGAAGACAACAAGTTTATGAACGTCTACGAAGAAGGCTACACAAGCTGCCCGCCAGCAATTGAAAATCCTTACAGTCTTTGCAGGAACCTTCCTAAAATTTGCAGCAARTCTTATTATAGAAGGGAAAGACATAGTCTCCTCCCTACCATCCTTTCTACTTGGAGTCTGAGTGTCAGAGTTCAACAAGGCTGGCGAATGTTGTAGTGGGAATCACCATCGCCCGCAACAACGCTGCTAATAAGAGGGAAAGTTAGGCTGCGACTGAATTTACAGCAGGTTATACTAGACAAGAAGAATTCGATTGCCCCGTGTGCTTCAGTACTTGGCTGTTGCTCTGGGAATCGTTACAGAATCTCGATCTACAATAATACCTGTGTCCCTTGTCCAACTAATTCAGCATCAGTTCATCATGGATTGTACTGCCAAAACAACTGATAACACCGTCTAATGAAATGGTCATAGCTGTGGTTAAACAAATATAGTTTTAATGCTTTCATAACTATATTATTGATTAGTATTGATTGTATTAGCCTAAAAAACTTTAACTGAAATGTCTTTCTGACAAAAAAGCTTTACTGTTGTAAGACTGAGTTCTAACCCGGCCCGCAACAATAACAAAAATAACACTGAATGATAATCATATTAATTAATCCATTTTAAATCATCAATAGAATATATTTCAACGGTTAATTAACCGATTGAGAATCATGAAGCACTCTTCAATTTATATAATATATGGTGCAGTATTAACCAGAGTTGGTTCTAGCCAGAAATGGCCTTCAACCCAGGCCTTGACATACTTGAGTCCGTAAATATCAACATGTGAGTTGAGTGATGGTTCAGTTATAAAATGTAGTGGTAGTGTTGGACACCAGGGAAAAACGTTTGCGCATGCGTGTACTTCAGCACGTTTTCTAAGAATTTTGAAGAGTTTGAGTGAGAAAATAAATGTTTGTCTTCTCCAAGTAAACAAAAAAAATCGCGAGTATGCAATTGTCAGACCAAGATACTGTATTAACAAACACGATATGAAAGAATTACCCTTAAGTCAAGCATGGACACTAGGTTTTAGCATTTTGTGAAGTCCAATTTATMAGGCATGTTTGAAAGTCAAATTTACATATGTTTTGARTAATTTGCATGCGGATTCACCACTACCCCTCTCCTCCCTCCTCTCCCCATTCTCCCTCTCCTCCCTCCTCTCCCTACTCCCCCTCCCCTCCTCTTCCTTCTTTTCCCAGTTCCAATCCCCTTCCTTCCCTTCCCTTTGGGCCGCTACGCAGACTAGAGCATGCGCAGACGCTTTTCACTCGTGTCGTAGTGATGCGTCGGGAGGGAACTTCACGGAAGAGCCCCATACGGCAGGGTTGTAAGATAAAAGTATTTTTAATGCTGAATGTAAACAAAAAAAGTAGACACCCTTTCTATTGAAAAAAAGAACGCTGTTTGCTTGAATTATTAATAAAAATCTTTATAGAAAATAAAAAAATAAAAAATATGCAAGAAAAATCTAAGGCCGAGTGAAAAGAACAAAAAGAAAAAAATAAGTACGTCTCTTAATACGATGGGAATCGAACCCACGTCTACCAACTTTAAGTAGATAATTAATTCCTAAGTGCAGAAGAAAAAAATATATAGTGCCTTCATGCCATATCCCCGAGACATCCGATGAGGCGTCGTATGGACCTCGGACCTGACGGCAATTAAGTCCCTCTGCCCTTGGGTGTATGGATTACGCAGGACTGTGTTCTATCCGAAACATCAGGGGAGAGACTAGCCGGCCCCCAGACCATATCTATGAGCTAATCCCTTGCACAACCTGCCAAACACTGGCACGTTGATTTGAAGTGGAAAAATAATCTAGTCTATCCAGTCGATTGTTTTCTTTATTGTTCATGCTAATTTCCTGAAATCGTGGCCGAGTGGAAACACAATGAGTCAATAACGTTTAAGGGAGATTGCTGCTTAGATGGGTGACCTGATGAAATTTATATTTGCCAAATTCTTCTTTTTATTCTCTTCAGTTATCATTGAATAGATAATTAATATAGGCATTATACTGAATGTTTGGTTTTTTTTTCTTTTTCTTTTCACACTTTCATAATCTGTTTGGCCGATCCCTGTCTACCCAAGAGTTTGAAAAGTTTCTGAGCAACGGATTTAGTTTCCTTTTTGTTTCTGATTTTTCTTGAAGAGTTTTTGGCGTTGTCATTTGTCATTGTTTTCGTTGCGAGGTAAAAGATTGGAAATGGCGATGGAACTGAACTGAACTGAAAAAAAAGGATCAATTGGCCAAGGCAGGTGAGGCGCTATGATAAAAAACAAAGCAATACCAGCAGAACATATTTTTTCAAATCAACTGAATATACAAGTCAGGCTATATAAGACTTTTTCAACGTTTTTACTTTAGTAATTTAGATTATTACTAGTAAGAGAGAGAAAATAAAGAAAATATTGAAAAATTGACACGTGACTTTTGGACTTCCGCTCAAAATATCTTCGGGGGGTCCTAGCCCTTAACAAAGCGGCTTTACCTCTTACAAAAAAAATATCGAGCATGGCTGAAATAATGTCTCTAAAAAAATCTATATGATTGGCGAAATTTTTATTTTTATTTCATTCTTCGTTATACCAATACTTAAAAAAGAGGTATGTGTCATTTCTTTAGTTTTTTGGGGTGTTTTAGAGGTGGAAAATCGAGGATGAAGAGAGCCGACCATTGAATAGTGGCTGTCGATCGGTGTCTACGTCCGGGGTTTTCTACATTCGGGGCTTTGGTTCATTCACCAAGACTCAAGTTCCCGTACGTAGAGCTCGAAATTCGAATTTGTTTTTGTTTTTAGGACAGGAAGTGGATAACTCACAGGTCCAGGACAGAGATCTAAGGACTAAGAATGGACTCAGCTAAGAAAAACTGCGAGGAATCTGAGATGGCAGTCGAAAGTATACCTGGGGAAGGTCCTTGTATGGTTGATACGAAAGAGATCGACCCGGATCATGAAGAGATCGAAAACGATTTGGAATTTGATTCAGAATTTTCACAAGAGCATGTTAATAGTTCACTGTCCGACCTAGGTAAGCTTATGTAAACTTATTTCAGCAGTCAAATTATTTTTCGAATATTTATGTTTGATATTTTTATATTTACATGATATTTATACCACTATAGTGAAAGATACTAAGGACTTTTAAGCTCCACGCGTTTGAGCTAGGGTTTTAATTTTCAATCCTCGTAAAATATTTACAAAAATATATACAATCTATATAATTATTCTCTGAACACCTTTTTTATTTCTAAAAAGTTTATTTTTCCATTTTTATATTGCTGCTATTTATACCTAGAATTTCATAGAGATTTTTTATAGGAGACCAATACTGAATGCTCTTGCTACTCAGAAGAAAACATGATATATTCATTTTCTTAGGTGTAGATGGTGGTGGTGGTGTTAAGCGAAAACATGAAGACCTAATGCATATTGAAGGATCTGAAGCTAAGAGTGCTCACATTGAAGAGCAAGGAAGTGAAGGATACAATGCTGTTCAAGATCTGGTAATAAAAAAATTGTCCAATTAATTTAATGGAAACTTTATTTCATTTTTATATCTTTAAAAATTGTAAATCTCACTATCATTAGGTAATTTACAATTGACTACTTGGACACGTACTTCCACATATACATACTTCGGAACGAGAAAGCTGAGAAAAAAAATATATATATATAACATTTATAAAGATAAAAAAAATGTGATAAGAATAAAATATGAGAAAGAAAAAGAAAAAAAAACAATTCAAAGAGCCAGGGGGGTCTAATGCTTTAAGAGTTCTGGATCGAGCCATTCCTTATTTCTGCTGCAAAAAATATAATAGGTAGATCGGATGACTATTTTGGTTATTTTTCTTATTAAATATTTTTGTAATATTAATAATGATGATGATGATTATTATTATTATTATTATACAGCTTCTCATTAATCCCATATAGGTAACTGTCCAATTATTTTCTTAATTGGACAGGTCTTGTTGATATGTGATTAATTAGGCAGCTATATAATTAATAGGTAATGGGATTTCATGCTCCCCAATCAAGAAATAATTAGACTCGAAAAATTCCTCAGACTGCCAAATTGGACTCGGCCTACGGCCTCATCCAATTTTGTCAGTCCTCGGAATTTAGCATTAGAGTCCTATTACATATACTAATAAAATAGTTTATTCAAACTGCATGATTTTTTTGTTTGTTTGAGAAAATGAAATCTGAAAATAATTCTGAAAATGAAAAAAAACATGGTGGTTGCAAATTCTGCCTCCACAAAACTTATCACACTATTGAATGATCAAGTTGTATGTGGGATTTTATATGCCCAGAGCCTGTTTTCCAATTTGAAACTGGATCACAGTTTACTTGTAACACTTGTTCAAATTCTAGATTGATATTATATATGAATATGAAGCTTCACCATTCAGATCATATAGGGGGGGGTGGGGATTGGAACCCCAGCTCCCCCAAATATATAACACAGAATCTTGTTATGAAATACAAAAAACTTATACAAAAATGTTTTTACCTCCTATATATGCACTTTCCTGCTAAAAAAGATTACTGGATCTACCTATACCTATAGAAAAAATATGAAGTTCATGGTACCTAACTCTTTTCTAATTCCTCTAATACAGGAAGATTCATCTAATTCACTGGAATCATCAGGCTTAACCCAGGAACAAGTTATATCATCTATATCTCAAACATGCCAAGTTGATCCCCTCAGCATCTCTCAAGCTCTGTCTTCGATCACTGGACAAATAAGCCATGAACCAACACTTCTACCCAATTCTTCTCTGGTTGAGAGTCGCGAAGATGGTGTTAATCAAGCTTGGTTTACTACTAAAGAAGACAAGGACAGCTTACAGGGAAAAGGTAAAGTTTATTGACAGTACTTGAACATGTTTTTAGCATGCACTCTATAATAAGATGGGATCCCTGTGTTATTATATAAAATCTATTCAAGCCTCCCTTAGACAAGCTGTGTTTTTAGGGAGTATATATATTTTTAGAATGTCCTTACTCAGAGGAATTGCTGTTAACATATGTGCCCAATTTGCTAGCCCATCTGGCTTAGTTTTTGAAATTTTAAAATGACTCCCAATACCTAACTGTAAAAATTGGAAAAATTCAAAGTTATCACCAGAAAATAGTAGTGACCCCCCTTTTTTCACTTGTAAATATTTGATGCTCCTAATTCCTCTGGCCCCCTCCCCCTCCTAAAATTTAAATGCTCTCTTATTGTCTTCAGTTACTTTTACTTCACAATGTTAAAAATGGAGAGAAAGCAGAGTCAGAAAAGTGCTGTAGTGTGGTTTGAATAACTTTCCCCAAAGCCTATGGTCCTATGTTCGACAGAGATGGAGAAGATACCATGAATTTATTACTTTTTTCATTTCCTTGTAGAACATTTTTTCTGTTTTTGTGTGTGTGTGTGTGTGTCTTTTGTGTGGTTTTTTGTTTGTTTTGTTTTTCGTTTTTGTTTCTGTTTTGTTTTTGTTTTTTTTGTTTTTGTTTTTGTTTTTTTTTTTGTTTTTGTTTTTAATATATAGTTCCTTTTAATAAATTCCACAATGCTTTGTTTTTCGAGTGTGACGTCAAGTTTTTTTTTCCGCGTCAAATTTATTCTGACGTCAAACACGGAATATAAGGCATTGTGGGATTCATTAAAAGGGTATATAGATTTTAGTGTGATACCTAAATTTAGGTGCCTATATTCTTACATATCGGTTTTTCAAAAGCCCTTAAAAAGGGCGTTATGCATGAGTGCAATTCCTCATCAAGGACGCCACATGTGAGCTACGTTTGTGAGTTTCATTAAAAATCGATGCTTTATGACAAATTGCAGGTTTTGGTGTTGTTAGGTTATGATGTACAACATCATTCTTACTGTAAGACGGTGCATCGATGATCCGTATTAGTGCAGTTTATTGCGTGACTTATTCCTATAAAAGTACTCGTTAAGTACATCATTGACGTAAGCCGAACGCTATTGATGATCGATGACAAGCTACAGTAACCAGTACATAAATAACAAAGCGTTTCCAAAAATTTAGATTATTTTTCCTCCTTACCATATTGCCTATGATAATCTTATAATTTTGTTTTTGAATTTTCATTCATTTATTTATTTTTTAACCTTCAAGGTTTTGAAAAACTTGTATGTTCGTGATAATTGCGTAAATAACGCAATCCTATTGTTGTTTGTTAGTTTTCTAATATAATATTCAGTTCATTAAGTCTTGTTGGAGACGGATTCGCCATCTTGCTAAACATGTCGAGTTACGTTTCCTTCGCCATTCGTCGCTTTAATCGCCCATTTTACCTCGAGAGCCGTTTTGTTACCTCTTTTTTACATATTCGAAACTCAAGCACAGTTGAAGCTTCGTCCACAGTTCTTAACAAGAATGAAAATCCTGTCAAGAACTTCGAAGAGATACCAACTCCTCCAAGAGTGCCAATTTTTGGAACCATGTTGAATTTTATGTTAAAAAAAGGCAGACGACCCTTAGCTAAGTACATTCTCGATATGCAATTCGAAGGAGTGAAAGAATATGGAAAAATATCAAAGTTCCATGTTCCTGGGTTTACGACTCCTGTTGTTCAACTCGCCGACCCAAATGAAGCACACAAGCTCTTTCAACTGGAACCAAAGTACCCAAGACGTATTGAAATGCCGGTTGTTGGCAACTTCTTAGAAGGTGAAAAGAAAACTAAAGGAGTGTTCTTTGCTGATGGCCATGACTGGTATCGACACAGGAGTGTGATAAGTAAGAAAATACTAAGACCAAAAGAATTGGTCTCCTATTCACCCATGTTTAACGATGTCGTGTCAGACTTCATGGTGCGATTCGAGAAGGTCAAGGAGGAAAATGTCGGCACTGAATTTGAGAACGAGGTAAAGAATCTCAACAAGGAACTTTTTAAATGGTCCTTCGAGTCTGTGTGTTATTTTCTCTTTGAGAAGAGGTTGGGTTGCCTTGAAGACGAGACAAATGAAAACGCACAAAACCTCATCCAGGCTGTTCATGGCTTTCTTACTTCTGTTTTCCCGGTCAGCCTTTTACCAGCTTCATTATATAAATACTTCAAGACGAACTCTTATAAACGTTTTATAGAGTCTTTTGAAAATATGTACAAGTATGCTGAAGTCTTTATTGATGAGAAAATAAGAGATCTGGGGCAAGAAGGCAAGTTAACTGAAGAAAACCCCACAGGAAATTTGGAAGATCAAGGTGCTGGCTTTTTTGAGTTCTTGATCGCAAACGGAAAGCTCTCCAGAGAAGATATAACTGCAAGTGTTATAGATCTGATGTTTGCAGGAGTTGAGACAACGTCAAATACCATTCTGTGGGCTTTGTACATGCTTGGCAAGAACCTTGAGAAGCAAGAAGTTTTGTATCAAGAAATCACTTCTGTGCTGCAACCCGGGGAGCTCCCATCTGTGGACACCTTGGCCAATATGCCGTACGTCAAGGCGTGTATCAAGGAAACTCTACGATTGTACCCGGTACTTCCAACTCTGGTGCGAGTGTTGCAAGAAGACCAGGTGTTGATGGGATACCACGTCCCAGCTGGCACCCACGTTAATGCACTTTACTACTACATGAGTCGTGATGAGAGTTCTTTTAATGATGCAACTAAATTCATCCCTGAGAGATGGTTAAGAGACACTGATAACCACACTCCTGGAGTTCCCCAGTCATTCGCTTCATTGCCTTTTGGTTTTGGTAAACGAATGTGCGCAGGAAGACGGATTGCAGAACTGGAGATGCACCTTTTGTTGACTAGGATAGTACGAGATTACCAGGTGTTGTATCCTCATGCTGATGATGTTGAACCTGAAGCTCAAGGCGCCATTGTCCCTGATCGCCCAGTGAGAGTCAAATTTATCAAGAGGAACACTTAGAATACGAGCTCATAAAGAAATGAAAAATACTTGGGTCTGTTATATAATTTTAACAAAGCACCTTCCACACTCATTATACAGCACCCATTACTCGTGCATTTAGCAAAAAAAGTTGAACTTGCATGAATAAGATAAAAGGGTTTAAGAAAAACTGGAAGGAAGATAGATTATCATCGTATTTGCAGTTGATGGATCATGTTTGTAAGGCGTAAGACATCAAGTTTAATGGGCAGGTGAACCAATCATTAGTCAGTTAGTCAGGCGTGCATGTATCTGACTTATCTAGTGAGGAATGAGCTAGTATAAAGGGAAACGAAAATTGAAAGGGTTTTGTAACATAAACATATGAAGTAAGATGTTACCCACACATCGTATTTGCAGTTCACTCAACGTGTGTCTGTAAAGTGAAAGACGTCAAATGAACGGGAAGGCCTTGTAAATCAAAAAAAAAAAAAAAAAAATCAACTGAATCGCCCCTTATATTCCTCGTTTTTACCTCATTATATTTGTATCACTATATATGTATAACTCTATAATTATTCATACAAAATGTGTTGCAAAAGTGCAAGTTTTGCTGTAAAACTTTCTTTCTATTTTCCTATCATTATATTTTATTTTGTATTAGTTCTTAGAAGCAAATCTTTCAGGAGAATTTTGTTAAATGTATTAAAATACTGTATTCAAATCGATTTTTCGTGACCATTTCACTTTTCATTGTATCATTTTTCTCACCTGAACCCGCCCAAAAATTAAACTTTCGCGCGCCTCTGTTGCATCTGGAAAGCAACCTCTTACTTTTTTCGTTGAAAAATTAAAACCATATACTGTATACCTCTAACGAATATATGACATCTTAGAGTGCCCGTGGTTTTGTTGACTTTGCTAGAAAAGAATTTGAGAACCTTTTTTTTTTTTTTTTTTTTGTAATTTTTTTTAGCTCGCTCGCTGCATGTGATTTCCACTATGTTTACGCTGGCTGTACGCATGTCATAAATTTCGTCCATCTTGTTGTTTCACTGCTTGAAAAACTATTTTTAGAATGCTCGGATAAAATTAAATTAAATTCAGAAGAAACAACGGTATTATAGATTCAAACTTTAAAGTAGTTTACTTCGGTCATTTTTCGGTTATTTTTTCACCCATCCATCTCAACCATTGTCATCCACAGGCCAACAAAAGCTCACTCTTCCTCCATTTCGGTTTTATGTAGGCTAGGAAAAACGCTCACCTTTAAAAATTTTTCTTGCAGGTGTAAAATGGAGACAAGGAATGTGGTCCAAAGAAGAGAACGATATCCTGAAAGAAAATATCATCAATTACTGTAAAGTAAGGCTTTGATAAATTAAGCCCCAGCAGTCCCAGTTCCCTAAGTCGCAACCCGTTTAAACCAGCTGAGTTGACCTTCAGAGCAAACTCAAAGTCAGCCAATCACAATTGAGGATTCATCATCGTGTTCAGTCACAATAACCTAAGAAATACGAGTTCTTCGTTCTTTTAGTTGATCGTGTCGAACTTATGGCGGTTTTTTTTTTTTTTTTTCAATTACTCAAGAGAAGTCTACATATTGTAGACTCAGAAAATGCTCGGAAAATGCTTAATGAAAATAGTTGACCCATAATTCCTTTCAGAGAACGTGATCAACTCAGCTGGAAGCTTTTAATAGATCACATGCAGCAAATGGCATACGTGATTCCTAAAATTTACAAAATTGCAAAATTGTAAATGAGAAGTAGTGGAGGTCAAGCAAATTTTTCTTACATTGAAAGCTACTAAACGCTAACAAAAAAACAAAAAAATTTCGAAAAGGCTAAACTATGAAGTTTTCCTTCCAGGACAACAATATTGCAGATCCAAATATCATCATTTTCGACATGTCTAAAGACGACAGAAAGGACTTTTACAGGACTATAGGTAAATTATATCAAAGCAAAATCTAGGTCCTCTATTTGATACCACTTTTTTCCTCCAAAGGGATTTGTAAGAAATATTTCATCCTCTCTAACATTACGTCTTTTTTCCCACACGCAGATGTTAAGGTTTATAGTGAAACCAACTGAATTTGTTATTTTCAGCTAAAGGAATAAAGCGCCCATTATTTGCTATCTATCGTCGAGTTCTTCGAATGTACGATCGACGTAACTACATTGGCAAATACTCACCTGAAGAAGTCAAGCAACTCAAGTCACTGAAGGAGAAATATGGTAACGATTGGGCAACTATTGGCGTCGCTATGGGGAGGAGTGCATCTTCTGTAAAGGATAGATACAGACTTCTGAAAGAGAACTGTCAAGCAGGTACATTGTTGCACGTTGATGCATTATATGACTATAGTTTGGGGAGGGTATTCAGGATTGCACAACTATTGGCATCCCTATGGGGGAGGAGTGCCTCTTCTGTAAAGGATAGGTATAAGCCACTAATAGAGATTAGGTCAATCAGCTCATGGTTAATGGAGTTGAATGATTTGGAAACTTCATAGAATAAAGGTATTGTTTTGCATTTGAGGTTGAACCGTACCATCACGTGATACTCGGGACTTTAAGATTTTCAAAATCTATGACGGCGACGTCAACCGGAAGTGTAAATAGTTTCTCTTTGGGGTACTGTTCATTAGAGATTTTATTCAAAACATTGTCAGTAAAGTCAACTCATCCACAGGGAAGACCGACTTTGAAGGCGCAAAACCCCTACTGACCGTGCACGACGAACCAAAGCAAGTATGGCTGAAAATACGCATTTCCTTATTATTTTCATTTTTTAACATTTTTAAAGTGAAAACTTTTATCCGAGGACCACAAACCATGCGGATAAATATTTCCACGCAGATACAGTTAAGTTACTAGATGATAAGTAAGAAATCATGAAAAAAGGCAATTTCCTTTTCGATAAACGATTAATAATGTCACATAGGATTAATTAACAAATAATAAATATTCTAAAACAATTTTTTACGGAAAAAATTCTATATTCCCTAATAGCATAAACAAAGTACAGAACCATTTTTCCTTCTCTATGCACGGTCAACGTCATATAACAATGGATAAAGTCAAACAAAAACCTAGAACAATAGGTTTCCCAACCATTCCGCTCCATTAACTATGATCAGGTAGAGTATTGCTTATTGATGCTTTGTACAAGTATAGTTAGAGTGCAAGGCATGGCATCTTCTGTGAAGCCAGGATAGATATCATAAAGACCAATCAGCTGTAATTAACAGGATTAAAGTTTGTTTCCTTTCCTTGCCATCTCACAGGCAAATGGACGGCAGAAGAAGAAGAACGTCTATCTAATGCGGTACATGAATTAAGTGGGACGCAAGCAGGAGATGTTGTCACTACTGGGATTTCATGGGCCCTTGTGGCGGAAAAAGTCGAAACACGATCAGAAAAGCAATGCAGGTCGAAATGGTTAGTCAGGATACTCAGTCTATAATATTCAAAAAAAAAAAAAAAAAAAAAAAAAAAAAAAAAAAAAAAAAAANAAAAAAAAAAAAAAAAAAAAAAAAAAAGAAATGAAAACGAAAAGAAAATACTAAAGGAAAAGTATTTATTATAATGTCTGTAAAACTAATCTAATTCAAAGCACCAGTGCAAATATTCTAAATATTGTAATCTTACTTGATTTAATCTTCATGTCATCAAATCCTTTGGTATCGGAATTTTTTCCAGGTTAAATTACTTGAATTGGAAAGAAAAAGGAGGCAAGGAGTGGACAAAACAAGACGAGATAAAACTCATTAACAGGTATGAAGTACGATTATGTATATATATCTCTTTCCCTCCCCGTTTTCCCTTCTCTCTCCCTTCCTTTCTTCCTTCCCTTCCCTCCTTCCTTGCTTGCTTACTTCATTCCTTCCTCTCGCCATTCCTTCCTTCCTCTCGCCATTCCTTCCTTCCTCCCGACCCGTCTTTCTTCTTCTATCCATCTATTAGTCGTTTCGAAGTTTCCTTCTTAATCTCGTTTTTTTTAAGAAAAAAAGAGAGGTTCGAATGTCCAATTCCCAATGAAAGCCATTGAGTTGTTTCCCAAGTGGGTTTTAATATTAAACAAACCAATTCCATTCTATCACTCTTTCCAGGATTTACGAATTAGATGTCGAAAACGAAAATCTCATTGATTGGAAAACTTTGATGACAAACTGGACAAGGTAAATAAGAATAGGAGCATCATTTCTTTACCCGTAAACTGTCCTTCACTTAAGTAATATTTTCCATTCCCAGTGTCCGATCGCCGCAGTGGCTTCGCAGCAAATGGTGGGCAATGAAAAAACATATTCCAGCGAATGATATGAGCTTTAGAGGTAAGTGGCGTACGTCAAACATTGTTTTGTCGAAAATTTGCTCTATATAATTCCTCTAAGTATTGACCAAGTTGTTTCTCTCGATCTCTATTCCAGATATAGTAGGATACTTGCACCTTCACTATGTAGATACGTTACAGTCCAAAATAGAAAGACAAGAATCACGGTACAAGAACAGGCTTCCACAAGGATATGGATCAGTGCTTAGAAATCTTGAAAGATCCAATGCACACAATGCTAATATTCCCCATACTATAACAGGTGAGATTCATTCCTTGGCCCATTCTCAATCAATACTATGAACAATAGCGTAGAGATGGCAAACGCCCAACATTCTTTCCCCTTTTCTGTCGTTCTACTCTAACCGTGAATACTCGAGTTTGTCAACCTATCAGATAACGAATTAAAAAAAATAGAATTTGAGTTACATGTATTGAAAGTCTATAAAAGCGATGAGATGAAATGATGAAGGAGAGAAAAAAAAGCATAATTACACAAATGAAAAATAAAATAAACTCGAGAGTTCACGGTTGGAGTAGAACGACAGTTATATTCAAGCTTCCATTTTTTTTTTTTTTTTTTAAGTTGTCAAACATAGTTGAAGTGGCTAAAAAATGTTTTGTTCCAAGTTGAGATAACAGAAAAATCATTTTGGGACTTCCGATGTTGGTGAACTTCTTGTGGATTTGGCGGGAACGTCCGTGCTAAAAACGCGTGCCCTGCCTTATAACTCAGGGACTCTAACTACACTACTGACTTCAGTCAACCTATTGTTTGTTGATAATTTCAGTGAATAGTGATGGATCCATTGTAACAAAAGACGATAATTCCACACACGCAATGACGAATCCCGGAAGGTACGAGGTTTTACAACTCAACAACGTTTCATCTCCCGATGGGGTGTTTAATACTCAGGCCAACCAGCTCCAGCCGTCATATATAATTCACTCCATGCAGCCTTCCTCGATTACTGCACAGACATATATCATACAGCAACCCACTATTGAAGTAGTAAGACACCATGACACAAGTCAAGTAGATACTGGTGCAGTACATGGTGAACAGGTGAGTAGAGAAATATTGGAATGGCTTGGTTAATGATGCTTAGTCAATAGACTCTTAAACTGATAAACATATGAATATTCTAAGCATTTCTAATCTAAGCATTTTTTTAAAGAACTGTATGGCACTAACGCATCTCATGCGCTAACAAGCTCGTTATCAGGCAATCTCGTACCGAGAGCCTGCGTTTCTTCTGGCCTGCGGCGAAGAACGAGGATTAAAAAATTCTTAGTTTTAAAAGTTGATATCTATGTCATTTGAAGGGCAATCTTTACGATGTGACAAATTTGTAGTAGAAAAGTAGTAGAAAAGTAGACTCGTTTTTCCGATAAATCAAAATCTTTTAATGTTACGCTAGCGTGATAAGGGTCTGTTGTGTCTCACAAATGTGTTGTCTTATACCATGGCAATCAAGGTTTTTAGAATGAGCATGACCAAGCCTCCGGTTTGGAAACAATTAATCTTTTTTGTAGTGCCTTGCAATTTTCTAAAATGAATTGTCGTACAAATGTACAATTTAAGAATTTGATTCATATTGATTTAGCTCTCTCAAGAGGATTTTTGGAAAAATATTTTAAAAAAGGGTGACACTATTACACTATAGGATAAGCATCCACGAATCAAGTCAAATAAAGTCGATAAACTATTCAAGAGTTTCAGCACATTTGTACGGTAATTCAACGAGAATGTTCGAGAATGTGGTCATTAATTGTATTGGATTGTGTCACCAAAAAGTTCGGACATTGTTTTGAACCATGCCCGAATCTTTTGGCGACCGTAACACAATCCAATACAATTTGTACCACGTGACAGCTAGCGCAAAAATGGTGAATTGTGCAAAACTCATGCTCCCTTTTTTCCAGGTTCAAATCTCTCCTCAAGGTGTTGTCATGACGGCCGTCCTTCATCCTCATCATTCAGTACGCTGCTTACCAGAAGTAAACCCGGAACTGGCTCAAGCCATCGTACAGACAGACATCTCTGGACCTGTGGAGGCTACCCATCATTTAATACAACATGAAGTCCCTGTCTCCATGAACCAGCCTAATGATCAACAACAACTTCAAACACAAATAACCAACCAAGTCAACATTACCAGCCATCCAACAGGGACACTCATTGACAGTGCTAACAGCCACGAATCGAATTCTGAAGAGATCAATCATGGTGCTGTTCTGGTCGGTATTGCAGACAACTCACTAACAACCCAGAATACTGAGGACATCAGTACGAATACTACAGATCGGCCTATTAATACAACACAATATCAGCAAGGTACTTAGCTTGGTGAAATTATCACATGCACTAGCACGGTCATCTCTCATTTCTGATTGATTATCGCGTGCGGCTAGAGTTTGTAGGGTGACTTCCTGATCTGAGTTCGGTTTCTCTCTCGGTGTTCCAGTTTTCCTTTCTCCCCCAAGGCTATTGCGCACGCAACTATTCGATCTGTGAGTTTGCCTGTGGTTTTGATCTGTGGTTTTGATCAGTCGTTAGAGGTTGTTTCAGGGCTTGATAAAGTTGAAGCTATGTAGATTTGCTAATACCCTTTGCTTTACAGGTCCAGCAGCTATTGCACAATCACTTGATGGTACAGAACTGTGCGCCACCGCTGTGAGTGGTCAACAACTACCTGAAGGAAGAATACTACAAGTGTCCAACCTTTCTTCTTTAATCGCTACGTATTCCACAGCAGCTTTCTCAACCAGCACATCAACGAGTTCCCCCCAAGTCTCCCATCATGCTTTGCAAAAATCAAATACTGACACTCAGTCAATCGGAAGTTCTACTGCTCATTCCTTCCAAATCTCAGACGTTTCACAAACCACCGCCAATAACTTCAGGAGGTCGCACAGCAATTCCACTGAGCTTGTACATCATTCTTTACAAAGTGCAACCACTTTGTCCCATCATACAATACATGGTGTTGGCAATGATGAATTGGACTCTCGGCAAGTTTCGCATGGACTGACAAGCAGCAATCCAAACCTATCAGCTAGTGATTTAGTTCCACAAGCAGATCTCCCTGAGCAATTTCTCCAGTCACAAGCAGACGATGCAGTAGAGTTAACATTACCTTCTTCAAGTAGTAACGACATTGTCATGTCTTCTGACGTTTCTGCTTGCGTTACCTCTATTCACCCCGACTTCAGTCACGCTGGTCAAGTGGTTACTATGGCAACCTTAAGTACATCTGATTCATTGATGATGATGGGACAAGATGGGGAACACTGTGTCATAGTTGAAGAGGAATGTCATGGATGATGATGTTATATGCCAATACCACTGATAGATAGGACAGAATGCTTCATGATGGAACAAGATTACGAAGGCTATGCCATATTGCAAGGGGATTGCCGTGGATTGATGCTAATCAGTGATACTGGTAAAAGCATACCTTAAGATAGAGAAGAAGACTATGTCATAGTGTAAGAGGAATGCCATTGTAAATGATGATACTGAAATTGGTAAAAAGCATACTCTGAGCACATCAGAATTATCTTTGACAATGGAGGAAGATGAAGGACACTCTGTCATATTCAAACAAGAATACCATGCATGACGATGTTATTGACAAAGAAACTGGTGATATTGCATACCTGATTCTTTGAGGATGATGGGGCAAGATGGAGACGATTGTGTCATAGTTGAAGACGAATGCCATGGATAACCATATTATCTGCAAAGACACTGGTGCTTTGATGCTCAACATTTGTGTTTTTCGAAGATGCCTGTCACATTATATACAACTTTATTTCCCAACTATGTGAACTCATTACATTTGTGAGCAGTTCAAATACTAAGTTGAATGCTTGGGGCAAATACACCTTGGAGACATACAATACCCCCAAATTGGTTTAAAAAAGGGTAAATCAAGGCTTGATGTTCGTTGACATATATATACACGTCAAATAAACGCTGGTTTCAATAGCTTGTCATCTAATATGAAAAACTATTGCCCAAGCTTGAGATGTTTACTAGATACAAGTATAGTATCATACAAAACAGTCTGTTAGTCTTGCGCCATCATTGAAATCTGGTGGCCAATATTCCATTTTACAGTTCCATTCAGTGTCCACAAATAATAGTTCCCAGTGGAGGCTGGAGTTACCATGCATGATAAACTGTAGTTTTCCTATGGGCAGAAACTCCAGCCACGGCTAGGAACTATTATTTGTGGTCACTGAATGGAACTGTAAAATGGATTATTGACTTCAACTCCAGTTCAATTCAATTTGTCTAATTATTCATTGGTGTTATTAAAAGGGGCAAAGCATTTGTTTCTTATCTTTTGGTGAATGAAATGAATATAACATTAATTAAAGATCAAAGAAAACCAAAACCCTTTTGTGTATTGATTTAATTGGATCTATAGGTAGTTTTTGATAAAACCCAAAAAATATAATTCAACTAATTCAATGTTATTTAAAAATTATTAATTATGACTTATTACTAACTGTTAGTGATGTAAAATCTCTGTATTTTGAGCACTTTAGGAAACTCAAAATTTTTTACTGATTTTTTGTTTTGTTTTGAAAACGTTTTTGGCTTGGTTGTGCTATATTCTTCTATTTATCTAGGAAGTGCAAGTGAGCTAGAATTGATTCAGATGTGGCCAAAAAAACATGGCACATCCTTGAACCAATCAATAGCTACAGTGTACATAACCATGCGAGCTGAGGATAATTTCTGGACCTACACAATCAGAACGCAGCATTGATAGACCACTAGTTAGATTTGACTAAAAAAGCATAGCCATACCTGAAATGGTGTCAAATAGCCCGGGGGGGTACTCCCATATATGGACTATACGGGGATGATCCGAACAGGGGATGATTTTTCAAGCTTCTTGTCATAAACAGGGTATGCAATTTCACTCAAGTTCCAAGTTCTTCCCAAGTTTCCTGTCATATTCAGGGTTTCTACTTTCGTATTGACCGAAACTGGTTATTATGGTTGTAAAAAAACGATACACATGATGATTGAAACAGGAACTCAGTGCAATAAATTATATCTTTTGTCATGAAACAGGGTCTACAAATTTGGTTTTTTTTGTCATAAACAGGGTACCCCTTTCAGAACTCCAGCGGAACACCCCTTGCCAAATTCTGGTGGAGAACCCCCCCGGGTCCAATGATCATAATGCAGATTGGTCTAAGTCTGGCCATTGAGCAGCCATTATTTTAGACCTGCTTTCCTTTCCCCTACGGTATTGTGTGGTTCCGAAAAATATCCATACCCCCCATGAGGGAAATTTGTAAAAAGCCCCACTAACCCCAGAAAGTCCAATATTCTTCCATACAAAGTATGAATTTTGTTTTTTCTGTGACTTCCCTCCCCTCCAGAATTTCCAATTTCCTCCATGGGTTGGATACGGAGATTTTCTGGAACTAAACATTTCAGACTTGTAGGCAGGCTACAACATTTGCTATAGTAAGTTTTAAACCACTCTAATGATTAGAGGCATAGCCAGCTATAAAGTCAGCTAACTCAGGGTCTAAGATTTTAAAAGTTAAGTAGAAAATATACTATTTGTTTTATTTTAGACTCTATCTATATAATAATATGAATATCTAAACTCTAGCTTCATTGTGAAGATTTCATTTTTTATAGGAGGAAAAGTGTGGTTGGATAAGCTGACAGCAGTTTTTTTATAGAGGTGGAGGGGGGTCGNTGGCAAAACTGCTTTTCCTCAATCCCGGAGAAAACAATTTAGTATCCGATAACCTGCTAGGCGGAAGGAAACAGAGGGAGGGGGGGGGGGGGGGGGGGGGGGTCGAAAAATTAATTTGGACTATCACAAAATCGATAACTCTCCTTCAAAGGTAAATATAATATCATGACCCTAACCCATTGTTTTTCCTGCCTTAATGAATCCTTTCTTTGTTAATGGATATTTATTTTGAATATAATTTTAAACTTGAATATAGAGTTTCACATGCTGTGATTGGTTAAGCAACCAGTGATTCTTAGCCGATAACCACTGCTCGGGCGGTGATTATAAGAGTTTCACATGCTGTGATTGGTTAAGCAACCAGTGATTCTTAGCAATAACCACTGCTTGGGCAGTGATTATAAGAGTTTCACATGCTGTGATTGGTTAAGCAACCAGTGATTCTTAGCCGATAACCACTGCTCGGGCGGTGATTATGAGAGTTTCATATGCTGTGATTGGTTAAGCAACCAGTGATTCGTAGGCAATAACTACTGCTTGGGCAGGGATTTAGAGGTTTTCCAAAGTTAGCCAGAGCAGAAGAGTGTCTAAAGCGTTTTTTTTATTCTAAATTTCATCTTTTCTCTGATATTCAAGTCTAAAATCATACTAATGTTGGATTATGTTTATATAATGTTAACTATAAAGGCTGGCTATTTTGGATAGTAAAAGAGATTAGCAGATAAGCATAGTATGATTAATGAAAGGCAATTGAAAAGTATGAGTTTACGAAATTTAGGGTCCAAATCTCCTCTTTTGTACCAAAATATCTGTAAAAAGACAAAAATATATTAATTGTATTGCATGGTACAAAATAAAAAAAAAAAGTAGTTACTACTCACTGGTAAAGTTACTGAAGAAATAGAAAACGCGTGCGCGTGCTGTGTGCTGTCATAAAGCACACAGGTTGGCAGAACACGAGAGAAGTGTTAGGAGAGGCACGGAGCTTAGCGGAGTGCTTCTGGACACTTCTCGAGTGTTCTGCCAATCCCCAAGTGCTTTATGACTGCACACAACACAGCAAGCAAGTTTTTTATTTTTTTTATAAAATAAAAATTACAATAGATAGGAATGACGCAACGGAAAGTGCGCATGCATGCAATATGCTCTCAAAGAGCACATGCTCCAAACCAATCAGAATGCGACATTCATAACAGTTATTTTATAAAGGTATATAGCAACTATTTGCTAGTAAGGTTACATGCAACACAGTAATGGTTGGAAAGTATTCCTGAGAAAAATATGCCAGTGTTCATGACAGGGTTTGAACCTAATTGTGAGGCAAGAAATACTTGATGAAAACCTTCACATGCATGATCTTTGATATATTCCGTGCAATGTAAACACTTAATACTATAAATCCTTATTTCCCAGGGTTCCTACAAGGCACTAGGCCCATTGCTAGGAGTGGTTTAATGGTCCAAACGAACCCCATTTCTCTACCTTTGGAGGAGTAAGAAATAATGTTCAGTGCTATTTTAGTTTTTCGAGAAATGGCATAACTAAGGTTGGTAGAAAAACGATTTTCCCCTATTATTTGCAATTACCAATGACCATGGATTACAGAGATTACAAATACCAAAGATGTACATATCTGGGGGGACGCAGCTGGCATAAAAAAATTCGTAAATACTGTATTATGTACATCTGTGGGTTTACGTAACTGCACCATATACTGTAACAACAAAATCAAGAAAAATCTATCATATACTTACTAAAACTAATTCTCCTATACAAACAAAGATGATGGCGATGGCTAGAAAGATTTTTTTGAATGGCGGAGGCCAAGGAAATAAGGAACTTATGAAGGTAAACTGAAAAAGATTAACACAATTACTGAGATCAAAAATAATAACGATGAAATGATTAGGCCTGACAGACCACTACGAGCAAAACAAGTTTTTTAATTGACGTATAGCAGGGGTTACTACTGTTTTTATCCCTACACACTGATCAAGACAGGGAAATCGGGCAATATACTGCCGTCAATCAAATAAATTGATCCATACCTTTATTTACTCAGACTGGCATCAGTGTACTGCTAGCTGATTTCTCTTTTGTGACTCACTGTCGTGTCGATCAATGCATAGCAATGACAACAGGGGTAAAATAATTGCCAGTCAGTCACTGATCATGATTACCGGCCAAATAAGTTTAATAGCTCGGTCAAACCTTGTTTCTTGCTCAATGTTACTGGTCAAATAGACCCTTCTCAAAAGTATCGTGGATGAGAAGCTACAGGGTTGAAAATATAAAAGAAATCACACTTTTTCTCGATGGAATTTGTGGCATTTCCATGTTAACCTCACATTCAAGATACATTTAAGAAGGGTTCATTGACTGACCAGGAAAGGTTTTAACCAGACAAGTTCTAACTGAGCAGACATTGTCTAATGATCATCCATTATTTCAAGCCCTCAGCTGTATAGTGGAGTGAACAAAGGGGATGCAGAGCAAGGGAAGGTATGTAAAGAAAGGATGTGAACTGATGAAGTAAATATAAAAGAGAAGTGAATACAAAAGGATGAGAAGGAAATGAAAGATGGAATGGTCATGTAACAAAACACCAGCGAAACACACTGAACTAGCTCCCACTACCTTTAATGATAACCAGAATATATCTTATACTTACTAATACCAATACGCATGTGAATCCTCCAAGTAGATAGCTTAAAAAACGATCCTGAATCAAAAACAATACAAATGTGATGCTATTTAATGCCTGGATTACTAAAGATTTCTGCAATATCATAAAGATATATTCATAAATACTTAATGCTTAATAAACAAAATCTTGTCTCATATGATAAATTTAAATATTTAAAGGTTGTTGTACCTTCKAATTGTACAATGATAATAAAAAGACAAAAATGAAAGGCAAACATCACGTGACTTTTTTTTTGGTACGCATGTATGTAATCAATGAAAGTATCATTTTTAGATCTTCTTCTAAATCAAGAAAACTTGCAATCATTATGATATAAATTTCAAAACAAGGACTTGACATTTTAAATTTAATTTTCAAGTGTTACGATGTAAGCTTTGCATTCACTCGATAAAAAATCAGGTCTCTCTTGATGTACATAGCAAGCTTTATTTTCTGGGTTTTTGTTTATTTGTACGTGTTGTTTAGCTCCACAATTCATTTATATCCTTGGCTATTGTTTCATTGTCTTTATGCCTCAAGTGCCTTTCAACACCAAGAAAAGAGCCATTAAATTAAACGAATACTAGTTATTGATGTTAATATAACAGAAAGTTAAGCTAAAGTTGTTCGAAACCTACCCTTGGTCGCGTGTCTCCAAATAATGGGGTATCTGTCCCAGCATCGTACATTGTTACTTTAATAAAAGTTAAGCCTTCCCAATGATGTCTAGGATTCAATCCTCTAAGAGTTAATCTTGATTTGTTCTTTCAGTTTTTTAAAACGATGCAAATACAAACATGACAAAATATAGCAATCCCCAGGAGCAAAATTATCATCACATCTCGGGAGGTGTACAGACAAATCCTTGCATCCAAAACTCCTTAAAAACACCTCGAATAGTCCTTTAACTTAGCAAGCTGGTATAACGAAGGTTTAAGACCCAGGTAGGCTTGTAAATTAGGAGTATTTTTGTAATCAGTAGGGAATTTCCTTGATGTTTCGAAAACTTTTTCTATGATCAAGTCATGTGTTTTGTGCACCAACTTGCATTTTGATACCTGAACCCGCGATGTCGCTATCCAGCTGATTGATCCCTTACTCATGCGCATTAGACTTCTGTCTTCGAATCCAAGATGGCGGCTTTGTCGCGTGTTTCTGGTTTACCTTCTTTATACCGAAATTTCTCGGGAATTTTTAGGAATTCTATTCTCCGATCGAAGCAGGTATGACGCTATATAACTTAGAAATYCAACAGTCGTAATACGATTTGGAAATCAGCTGTTTTTTATTTGCATTTTGTGTAAACGTGGCATCCATATTGTGATGTGGAAATATTCTCATAACTCTACTCGGATATTGTTTAAAGAGTTGTATTATTTGCGATTGTGCTGGGTCCTTCAAAAAAGTATCAAGATAATTAAGGCTAATGTTTAGGTTTAAAGATCATCAAAGATTTATACATAATCAGCATCAAGCTAGCTGTTGACTTGTGTATTTATGTACACAATGATGCCCAACACCAGCCCCCTTGGGCTTTGTATGTGGGGGGAGGGGGGAAGAGGTATTTTGATATTTTGTAAAAGTATATCGTTATCCTTTGTTTTCACGTTACGTCATCTGGTGTATTTTTATAGCAAAAGACTTCTCATAAGGTCCTTTTTTTACATATGTCAACCAGCATGGCCACCATTGTCTTTTGATCCTCTTGGGAATGGTTGAAAACCACCAAATAATGTATGTTATAGCTACACATATTGATTTCATATAACCTCAATATTAACTTGTGGGGTTAATAGGTATAAGGATGACAGTTTCCATGGTAACCATCAATATAATCTTTGTAGATTTCACCTGTGAGTGTTCTTCCAGTGAGATGGCTGAATCTTCATGAATATCAAAGCAAGAAGATCATGCAAGATAATGGACTTAATGTTCAACGATTCATAGTCAGTGAGAATGCTGAAGAATCTGTCAAGCTATCTAAAGAACTAAGTATGCTTGTAGTTACAATGTAATCTTTCCTAGTTTAGAAAAAGATTAGCACTGTTTCATTGCTACCCACGTTATTGATAGTAATAAATAGACTACCATCAATCAAATAAAGGTACATGAGAACCTACTCTAATGATTAACTTGGTTATGGTAATAGCCTATTTCCCTTTTTTCGATACAACAGTGCTACTGTAGTACCTACTGGCCTTTAGTAGTCATTCATCTTTTAATGATATCATGTTGGAATATAGATGCTGCTGAATATGTGGTGAAAGCTCAGATCCTTGCAGGAGGTAGAGGCAAAGGAACATTCAATAGTGGTCTCAAGGGTGGAGTACACTTAACTAGAGAGTAAGCACATGTTTAAAGATTTTTTTGTATACAAATATGTTCTTTATTTTTTCCCAAGAACAAAGGTTTTGAAGGTTTTTATGTTTCGCATGAAGAATACAAAAAAAAAAAAGATTAAGAAGTGCAAGAGAGAAAACCCAAAAGGGTTAAAAAAGTTACTCTCACACCCAGAAGGATTATAAACTGAATATTAATATCCAATTCAAATTCAAAAGCTCATTAAGGGGGCTCACTAGCTTTTTTATTTGCAATATTGATAGGTGGAATGAAAAAAATATATATCATCTTGAATGTCAGAGTTCTTAAATTGGCCTGATGTCCAATCCCCATTTTGCAGAACCAAAGACCTTTACACAAATGATAGGTAATAAACTTGATTGCTTCTAAGTTTTAATTATGCATATTTTTTTTTTTTTTTTTAGCCCAGAGAAGGTTGGAGAGCTAACAAAACAAATGTTTGGATACAACCTGGTCACAAAGCAAACGACAGAGGAGGGTGTGCCAGTGAGAAAGGTAATGAACTTACTTAATACTGTAGAATATTCTGTGAACTCAGATATTTCAATGGGAGGAGGAAGGGGAGGGGAACACAAGTCTAGATTCAGCATAAAATCTTGTGTTACTTGAACTACTTTGGGTAGCAAGAATGTTCTCATTTGTTACAGTGGGGACACTTGAACCATGAACGCGTCAACTTTTACTGCAGTTTTTAATATTCTGTGAACTCAGACATTTCAACAGCTTGTCGTGAAATGGGTTTTTCACTGCAACAAGTCTTAAATATGAAAGATACCGACTGATTATTTTTGATTGAAGGCAGCAAAAAATCAAATTTCTGTGCAGCTCATAAAAAAGATATCACATGACAAATTTTGATAGCTGTTGCACTGAAACAAAAACGAATGGGTGCTAATGATTTCCATAGTATGATATTTTCATGCAATATTCCATGATGTTATCCCAATAGGTAATGGTGGCAGAAGCATATGATATCGACAAAGAGACTTATCTTGCCATACTGATGGACAGAGACTTTAATGGCCCAGTAATAGTCGGCAGCCCAAAAGGAGGAATGGATATTGAGGAGGTTGCCAAGGAAACGCCTGAATACATATACAAGGTACTTAGATATACCAATGAAATATACATGACTGTATAAAAAATTTACAGAAATGGTATATTATAAAGACATTAATGATGATAATGGTACATGTAATAGAGCTAACAAGATTTATAAATTTATGTTTCAAAGGTTCCTGTGGACATTGTGAAGGGATTGTCTGAAAAAGATGCTAGATGGTTGGCTGGCAAATTGGAATTCACTGGTAATTTACAAGAACAGGTATTTCTTTCCCATTGTTGTTATTGTTATTAGTGGTGATGATCGTTGGTAGAGGTGGCTGGTAATATAGTGGTGGTGGTGTTGGCAGCAATGACTGCAGTGACGGCAAAGGTGGGAGTGTGGTGGTGGTGGTGGTGGTGGTGGTGGTGGTGGTGGTGGCGGTGGAGT